AGGGCTGGGTTTGAACCCACCACCTCCAGCATATGGGGCCAGCGCCCTACTTCTCTGAGCCACAGGCACTGCCCTCACATTTCACTTTTTATTAATGAAATGTATTGGGTATATCAAACCAGTATGGAAAATAATATAACAAAAACACTTTTAGACCCACTACCCAGTTAAAATGTTACAGATTCAATTCATATATCCCTTGTATAACCTTTCTCAATTTTGTTATTCTCCCTTCTCTTCGAAGCAGTAACCACTATTTTCAATTTGGTATTTTTCATTTCAGTTCTTCCTTTCTTTCTTTCTTTCTTTTTTTTTTTTTTGAGACAGAGACTCACTTTGTCACCCTGGCTAGAGTGCTATGGTGTCATAGCTCACAGCAAACTTGAACTCTTGGGCTCCAGTGATCCTCTTGCCTAAGCCTCCTGAGTAACTGGGACTACAGACAGCCTGCTACAATGACCAGCTAGTTTTTCTGTTTTTAGTTGAGATGAGGTCTTGCTCTTGTGTTCAGGATAGTCTCAGACTCCTGAGCTCAAGCAATATACCTGTCTTAGCCTCCCCGAGTGCTAGGTAGGATTATAGGCATGAGCCACCGTACCAGGCCTTGGTGTCTATCATTTCCAATCATGATTTTATAATTTTACATATAGAAGTTCTCTTTTCTGAGGAGTCAGTCAAGAGTATGTGCAATTTGTATTTTTGTCATCATTGGAATTAAGAGCTGGAAATTGTTCAGAAGTAAACTTACATTAGAACATACCTTACCTTCCCATTTGAATTATGGTACTTGGTTCATCTCCAAGAAGCACTAGTCTAAGCACTTTTGCCACTGCTTCCTAAAAATAAATTGACAGCATTTACTCTGTAGAAAATTTTAGTGTCTTTTATTATTCTACTCCTTAATTTATGAATGTTCTAATTAGTTTATCAAGGAAAAACAGTTTATTAGGAGAACTATGGGTGGTAATTCATAATGCATGTTAAGAGGCAGGTGGTCATAAAATATTCATATGAATCTGAAGAAAACATTAAAACAATACACATACACAGATATAAGTGTGCAAACATAGGCTGTACTACATTTATCTTATTATAAAAATCTTATTTTTATAGCAATATCTTATAGTGATATGGCTTCAAGGCTGGGAAGTACTATCTAATCAAACATCTTATAAAAATCTTATTTTTACAGCCATATCTTATAGTGAGTGATACAGCTTCAAGGCTGGGAAGTACTGTCTAATCAAACATCTTATAAAAATCTTATTTTTACAGCCATATCTTATAGTGAGTGATACGGCTTCAAGGCTGGGAAGTACTGTCTAATCAAACACCTTCTCAATGAATAGTAGTCACTGAAACTATAAATAAAATGTTACTGGATTAAAGAAAAATAGGTCTTACTCTTTGAACATTCTAAGCAGTCTCCTATCTTTTTATAAAGATAAAAATTTTTATTCATTATCATTCACTGATTTCTTTCTAAAAAACAAATAATTGCCAAGAACTTTTATACCTCTTTCTTATAAGGCTCATTCTTTGGGAGAAAATTTTCAAGATACTATGCTTATTCAGAATACCTTACATATAGTCAATCATATGAAATCTCATTAATTTACTTTAGAAGTGTTAAAAGAATCTGAAAGTTACCTAAGAATCCTTGAATAGCCACATTCCTAATTAACTTTTCCATTTTACAAAATGACACTTGAAATAAAAGCTTTTATGGAAGGGTTAAGATTATTATTAATAGGAGTAAGTAAAACCTGAAACTTGGCATTACCTGAAAAATCCAGGTGGTATTTTCTAAGAAAGGGTTTCCTAAGAAACTTGAAAAACTATAAAGGGATACATAAACTCTCAGTTACTCTCTTTTTAGTACTGGAAAACAGTTCCCTACCTTTCCCCAAGTGTCTCTCTTAGAGTATGAGTGTAAGCTATGACATCTTAGCAAAATCTGAAACAAAATAAATGGCAATCTGAGGCAGTAAAATGAGTGACAAAGTGGGTTCTAATCGTGTTTCTGGAATTAATCTGCTGTATGATTTAAGAAAGTGACTTGTCTGGGTCTGTTTCCTCGTGGCTGTCCCCCTTCCAATCTGCTTTCCACACTGTAACGAGACCAAAATTTCCAGAAGGTAAACCATAGCTTACTCTTCCTCTATTTTCAAATCTTTACTTCTCCTCAGTTTTTCTAGAATGAGAACACTGTATATAGGACCCTTCATTATCTTTGCCCACTTTACTGGCTTCATCCCCAGCCCCTACATTCTGTGACCCCGTGCTCTTGCCACCCTGAGGTTCTGGGGACTCTCCAAACTCACCATGTTGTTCCCTTTATATGAATTCTCACTCCCCTTTCCAGTGCCTGGCTAGGACTAACTCTTATATAAAGGTTATACGCCAAGCCTCCTAGCCCGTGGTCTTATCACCTCCTCTAGCCATGCTGGGTGCTACGTTCACAACCTAACTCCTTTGAAATACTTTTGATACTGTAGGACAACAGCGTGCATATATAAGCCCACTGACATAAAGAGACAATGAGTTCCAGGAACAACGCCAGGACTTTTTACTTGCTGAATTCTTTGCACCCTTACACCCTTGACGCTGGGATTTTACAACTAAGATGCTTCAATAAATATGTGCTGAACTTCACGTCATTTCTCCACAAGACAGAGAAAATATTTTAAGGTTCTATCGGGCCTGCTAGTACAAATTGCCGCCAAAAGCTGGCGCGTGCAGCAGCCTCTAACTAGTAGGCGACGCAAGTGTGGCTCCCGCCCGGATCCCGTGCCCTGCGCGGGGGCGGGGCCTCGTGTCCGCGGGGCGGGCACCCGGCCTCTCCTCAGCCTCGTGGCCTGAGGGGCCGCCCGGCGGGCCAACCCTCAAGGAGCAGAAGCAGCGGAGGTGGAGTTACCGACCCAGAGGTACCTGGTAGGAGCCACCGGTTAGGGCCAGCTCAGCTAGGACTACTCGGCCATTAGCAATGCAGCTGTAGGTGATCGTCATAGTGGGCGGGGCAGTGAGAGAAAGGCTCTTACGGCGCCAAACCGCCAAGACGGCCTGGGGGGGAGGGGCAGTGAGAAGGCGGGGCTCCGAGAGGGCGGTGGCTGCGCATGCGTGAGGAGTGATTGATGGGTGGGGAGAGAGGCGGGGTCTGAGTTAAGCCAGTGATGAGCCAGGGGCGGGACCTTTGGGAAAAAACGTGCTTTGGGCGGTGGAGCCTTTCTACTTCGTGGTTATCCTTAAAATCATTTGTCAAGAGCCAGTTTATTTCATAGTGCTTTTCTGCTTATGATTCATATACAGTCTAGACATGTAGAAATAGACAAAGTCTACATGTGAAATAAAATTATTTTATTTTTAAAATAAAATTCAGTCATTAATTGAACAAGAATTTGTGGAACTCCTAGTGCGCTATGTACGAGTATCTTGGATTTCTGGCTTTGGAAAGATGTAGGCCCTGATTCTGAGAAGTTTGTGTTCTAATAATTCTAGTAGTAGTTACAGAGTCACATATGCATAAGTGCTAATCTCAAGTGATGTGTGTGTGCTGAGATGGAAAGATTAATAAAGTGTTGCGGAAGCTTGGAGAGCGAGCTAAGCTCTCAAAGTCACTGTCCGACTTAGGGGGGAGGGAAGAAAGATAGGACAGTCTAGAGAACAGCTTTGTAAAGACTTGAAAAGAAGTAGGTAGGTTTTGGGAATGAGTATAAGCCAGTGTGGCAGAGAAAAAGTGGATGGGAGAGCGAGTAGGAGCCGAGAGTTCATGAAAGGAGTGGTTTTCTAGACATTGGATGCTTTGACAAGGATTTTTTCAAGTGTGAGCTTCAGAAAAGTTTACATGTTTTTATCAAGATTTTGTGGTGGAGTAGAAAGAGCATGGCCTTTGAAGTCAGACAAACTTGAATTCAAATATATGCATTGCCATTTACTCTGTGCCTTTATTGTCACTCAACCTTTCTGAGACTCAGTTTCATAATCTATACAATGGGGATAGTTAGACCCCAGGAAAGACTTTAAAACAAATAAGAAAGAAAATGGCGAATAGATGTCAAGTTAAAATGAAGTAATTGTGCTTGCTTGGGCAGCTCATGTAGTAAAATTGAAACCATACAGTGAAGACCAGCATGGCCCCTGCTCAAGGATGACTTGCAAATTCATGAAGCATTCCATATTAAAAAAAAATAAAATGAAATTAAATGAAGTAATTATGCAAAATACTATCATAAGGTAGATATGCAATTGCAACCCTTATTGTGATAAGTACATTAATGAGAATTACTTTCTTGTTCCCAATTGTATAACCTTAAAGGAAAGCTGATCTGTGTCCTTCTGAGTGCCTGTCAGCATGTGAAAACAGGTGTTCAATTCATTTCCTTTAACCCAGTGCACTTAAATTGGATTGACAGGGAAGAGGTAAAACTGGTCTGGGCTGTAGCTCCTGAGAAAAACGCCTTGTTGAATCATGCATCCTCCTGTCTACATAAAGGAAATCTCGAATCAGTGTGTCTTACCAGCTTAGAGGTATTGTTTCGGTTACAGGTGCAGTGACCATTAAAAAGCACTGGTCATATTACTTGTATGTGGGAAATGAAATTTGTTAATTCTGAGGTTATGCTTTGTTTTATTCTTGTTTGACCAGTTTGCATTGCTCCTTCTGTTTAGCAAAAAGTGAAGCTGAAAGGAACTAGGCAAAGAAATCATGAGCTGTAGTGGTGACCATGGGCTTTTGATAGCTGGAGAGGTGTTTATGAGAACTTCCCATCTTGGTCTCATCCATTCATATTAAAACAATCTGTGAAGCAGGTGTCTTGGGTTCACTTTGCACAAGCCACATGATCAGGCTTCAGCAACATAGAACTTAGTTTCTAATACAAATCTATCTTTCTTTGAACACCTTTTCATCTCCTCCCTCAGCTTTCAGCACTGCTGTCATTTGACACCTTTGAACCAGTCCTTCAATGGCACACCCTCCCTGTTTCTGGTTTCTGACCTCCGTCTGTGCTTCCTGCACGCTGCACTCTGCCTGAGAGCTGAGGCTTACTCTAGTCCAGTGGTGGGGAACCTGCCAGCTTGGGGTTACACGCAGCCTTCTGGATCCTAGAGTGAGGCCTTTTGACTGAATCCAAATTTTACAGAGCAAATCCTTTTAATAAAGGGATTTTTCTGTGAAGTTTGGATTTGATCTAGTCAATGCCAGGTTTCCTAAGTTAACTCAAGATTTCCCCCTTCCCTTGTTTCTCTAGAGGGTGGCATTTCTGTGCATGGGGACAAGTTGGTGGCGGGCAGGTTCCTCTGATATGTGACCTTCATCTCTCTAAGGTGGTGTCTGCTGCTAAAGTTTATTTTCCGTTTCTGGTCTCAGTCACACATTCCACTTGGAACCTGGAGGCCCTTTAGGTGCTTGGGTTCTCTCTCGGCCACCTTAGTGACTCTCTTGGGACCAGGAAAACTTCCTGCTGCTGCTCATGCCGTTCTGCGGCTGTGGGGACCTCCCATGGCTGTCTCACACCGTGCTGCTACCTCTCTGTCGTGCTGTTCACTCTGCTGTCATGTGGGGAGTGGTTTTTGGACCTCACCTCACCTGAGAAGCAAGCTCTGGGACTCCTGATTTTCCAAGAGTTTTCTTATCACTACACTCTGTCACCTCTCACCTCTTGGAGGGGGCTCTAGCTAATTGGAGTGCTTCCTCTGACTCTGCCCTCCTCTGGCGTGGGGAAATTCCAGCAAGTGTAGGTGGGCAACCTCTGACTACCCGAGGGGGTCTCCTAATTATACTACGAACACTGGCTGCCTGGACCCTTTTCTTTTCATGTACTCTTCGGGCAGTTTCCAAAATCTATTTTGAAACTTTTAAGAGCTGAGAATCTTTTCCTTTCCCCCTCTTCGTTCTCTGTCTTCTTCCTCCATTTACTTCATTCTCTTGTGCCAAAGGGAGTAACTGAGAATAAAAACCACAGCAAGTAACATAAAATATCAGAAGTATTTCTACCTTTCCCTGGATAGTTTGACAAAATCTTGAGGAAGCAATAGAAAGACTGGTGAGAAGCTGGATTCCTGGGAAGGAGAACAGGACATTTCACTATTAATTTATTTCCCCTAATGCTTCTAGACATTGTCACCACCTTCATCAACTGAGGAATCCACCATCACAGCTTTTCAGAGCTTAGTTTCTCAGAAGGAAAAATTACTCATTTTCGAATCATCTGAATTCTTAGGTGATTAGAGAGTTTGTACATATTGTGTCGGCTGGAGACTTCCAAACACTCGCTAATTCAGGAGGTGCCTTGTTAAGTATTGAAGTTCTCCTGTAGGAGATTGGTTTTTTACTTACTGTTCTTCAAAACGGAAATATTTTTATAGTTTTTTTATGGAGTGTGATCACTGTAAAAATTTAAACAACACAACAGTGAAAGCCTCCCTAACCACAAAAATAATGGCTAGAATCATCAAATTTATATTTTTCCTTTCTTTTTTATGCATTTTTATATTTAACACTAATGTATATATACATATTTTTCTGAAATTGGCTTCATTTTTTAAATTAATAATATGGTTTCTTTGACTGCCATATACATATATTTCAATTCTTTTCCTCCGAGGCTTATCACTTGAATTTTCTTTTTCTTTTTCTGTTCTTTTTCTTACCTGGTCAAACATGTCAGGATATTTTATTATGATGTACATTAGGGCTAGGTTAGGCAGGGTCTCTTCTTATGTTCCCACTTGCTTTTCTTCTGTTAGTATTGTTTGTTTTAATGTTTAAATCTTTTTATTTTTTATTATTTTATTTTCTTAAGTCAAATACACATAGATCATGAATACATTCATGCATATGTGGGGTACAATGTGTTGATTTTTTAAAAATACAATCTGACATGGTTACATTAAACCTATCAACATAGCTTTCATAATGTTTAAATCTTTAATTCAACTGTTTTGAATTAAACAGTTTTGGAATTTGTTTTTGTGTCTTTTGTGAGGTTGGAATTTATGTTTTTTCAAATGGACACCCAATTATTTCATACCACGTATTGCATATTCTATCCTTCCTTCATGAATTTGAAATGCCAGAGATCTGAAATGGTAAATATAAAACAAAATCCCCTCTATACGTCTTTCTTGGACTTTAGAGTTGATGTATATGCCAATTTCTATGCTAACATCACATGATTCAGTAATTGTACCTCAAATGGCTTTAAATTTAACAAATTGGAGAGGATTAATATATTTACAATATTGAGTCTTTCCATTTAGGAACATGATTTGTCTTTCTTTCTTTTTTTTTTTTATTTCTCATAGCATAACTGTGTACTTTAATGCAATCATGGGGTGCAGTGTCCTGTTTTCATACACTTTTTGAAATACTCTCATCAAACTGGTCAAAACTCTCATAACCTTCATGTCATTTTCTTAGTTATTGAGTTAAAACGTTCATACTCTGCTTTTAGAAAGATTCACTTGTACCCTTGTAAGATAAAC